GGACTGATCAACAGTTACCGGAAACGTTTAGTTTCAGTTATTGTACTGAAAGCAAAGGTTCACATTAGGAATGCGCGATATATACGGTATACGGAAGAAACGATAGAAATTTAGCCCAAGATAGAGATGTGTCTTCTACCGGCTAACTGCAGTAATGCTGTGTCTGAAGTAAAATCAGAGTTGTCAGTTTAATCGTTACTTTTTTTTAGTTGAAAATTGTGCGTAAGTGGTGTTAAAGTCTTTTCTTCGAGAGCTAAGTGGCGAAGCTACAAACTAATTACTCCCGGTTTGCCGTAGAGTTGCTGTATTCTGACGCATGCGCAAAACGACGAGTTCCATTGAAAGTTAAAGTAAGCGTTGGTCATCTTTAGAGAACCTGCTCTCTGATCTGTGAAAAGAACGCTGTGTTGTGTGATGTTACTGCGAGACCCTCTGGTCAAAGCCACAGACTCATTTTGTGTCAGCTCTCCATTAAAGCAGAAGGAGGCGCCCACTAGAGAGTTGGAGGGTGAAGTGTTTCAGTTGCTGCTCTGTTGCTGTTCATTTCTCAAGTAAGACTGGAAACTGTTAACAACATATTCTTTAGTTTAAAACATATGGCTAAAACTACATTTGATATATTTTGCACTGTTTTGCACTTCAAGAAAGAAGACAAACACTTGATTTGTTTATTATTTTAAAACTCTCTGGACCTAGTGGTGGAATTTTCTTAATTTAAAAAAGTTCAATCTGGTCCTCTGGACATTAAAAAAAAAACAACCAGTCTGGTTGATCCACTCTGAGAAGGTGCTATTTATAAGACTGAGCTGAAAACAGCACCTCAGACTGAGGAAGTCTTTCGAATGAAAGACGAAACGTTTCTACAATTTTTTTTTTTTTAATGTCCAGAGGACCAGATTGAACTTTTTTAGATTTTTCTACATGGATAACTCAGCACGCATCAGGAAATTTTCTTAATTCAAAATAAATGATGGAAAAAGCACCCCCTATGCTTTTTTATACCAAAAACATATTGTGATATACATCGTTATCGCCACCCTTCACAATACATATCGTGATATGAATTTTATGCCATATTGCACATGCCTAGTTCACATACTTTACCACTCACAAATATGTAATATTGGATTATTTTCCTCAATAAATAAACGACCAAGTATAATCCAACATTTTTCAGTTAGGTCATCTGGACAGTTTCTTTTTTTGTGCTGAAACGTTTCGCCTTTGATCCAGAAGGCTTCATCAGTCAAGGAAACACACAACAAAACTGATTCTTCCCCCAACAGCTCACTCCAAAGTGGAACAAACCAGTTTTGCTTGTGAGAAGATGGTCTCTTTGGTACGCCCCATCCTCCATTGCCGGACCTCTTCCTTGTTGACAGTAGGAATGTGCGATATGGCATAAAATTCATATCACGATATGTATTGTGAAGGGTGGCTATAACGATATATATCGCGATGTGTTTTGTTATAAAACTTGCTAAAAAAAGCATAGGGTGCCCTTTTGTCATTCTACTACTAGGTGCAGAGTTTTTAAATAATAAACAAATCAAGTATTAGGCTTCTTTCTTGTAGTGCAAAACAGTGCAAAATATATCAAATGTAGTTTTAGCCATATGTTTTAAACTAAAGAATATGTTGTTAACAGTTTCCAGTCTTACTTAATAAATGAACAGCAACAGAGCAGCAACTGAAACACTTCACCCTCCAACCTCTAGTGGGCGACTCCTTCTGCTTTAATGGAGCTGACACAAAATGAGTCTGTGGCTTTGACCAGAGGGTCTCGCAGTAAAATCACACAACACAGCGTTCTTTTCACAGATCAGAGAGCAGGTTCTCTAAAGATGACCAACGCTTACTTTAACTTTCAACGGAACTCGTAGTTTTGCGCATGCGTCAGAATACGGCAACTCTACGGCAAGCCGGCTGTAGTTAGCTTGTAGCTTTGCTACTTAGCTCTCGAAGAAAAGACTTCAACGCCACTTGCGCACAGTTTTCAACTAAAAAAAGTAACGATTAAACTGACAGCTCTGATTTTACTTCAGACACAGCATTACTGCGGTTAGCCGGTAGAAGACACATCTCTATCGTAGGCTAAATTTCTATAGTTTCTACCGTGTACCGTATATATCGCACATTTCTAGTTGACAGTCATGTCAAACTGGTTGAAAACAACAAAGTCCATGTTCAATAATCCAGGTATACAATCCAACATTTTTCAGTCAGGTCATCTGGACAGTTTCTTTTTTTGTGCTGACGGCTGGCAGATGACCTGACTGAAAAATGTTGGATTGTATACCTGGATTATTGAGCATGGACTTTGTTGACCAAGTATAATATTTTTGTCTCATTTGTTTAACTGGATTCTCTTCATCTACTTTAAACATGTGTGAAATGTGGAAAATTGTCAAGGGTTCACAAACTTTCAAGCACCACTGTATATCTCCCTTTTGCCTTCCACTTTATATTTTTCCTGGCAGCTGCATTTCTAACATCCTTCTACCAATATACCCACTGTCCCACTTCTGGACATGTCCAAACCATCTCAGTGTGTCCTCTCTAACTTTATCTCCCAGTTGTTCAACCTGTGCTGTACCTCTGATCATCTCATTCCTGATCTTCTCCATCCTTGTCTCTCCTAAGAAGAACCTCAACATCTTCATTTCTGACACTTCCAGTTCTGTCTCCTGTCTTTTTGTCCATGTCTCTTGTCTCCAGACCATACAACATAGCTGGTCTCACCACTGTCTTGTAAACTTTTCTTTTGACCTTTGCCGACACCCTTTTGTCACAAATCACTCCTGAAACTTTTCTCCATCCACTCCATCCTGCCTGGACTCTCTTCTTCACCTCTTTACCACACTCCCCATGTTCCTGGACAGTGGACCCCAAGTCCTTTTAGTCCTGCACCTTTGTGACCTCTGCTCCTTGTAGCCTCACTGTTCCACCTCCTCCCTCTCATTCACACACATGGACTCTGCCTTACTATGGCTGACTTTCATTCCTCTTCTTTCAAGTGCATACCTCCACCTCTCTTAAGTGCTCTTCTGTTTAGTTTTCCCCGTATAGAGAGCTGAACATTCCTGCAGACACCACACTGCTTAGTTTGGGTTTGAGGTTCTGTCCTTGGGATGGACCAGTGTTTGGAGAAAATCTTTCAGTTTCTCAGCTACTCCAGCAACATAAGGTTAGCTCTTCTCCCTGGTTTGTTCTGCATCATGTTTTGTGTAAATCTTTGCTGATTTGAACTCTGGGTAGTGACCAAAAGAATGAGATCGTGGATACAGGAGGTTGAAATGAGTTTCCTCTGCAGGGTAGCTGGACTCTCCCTTAGAGACAGGGTGAGAAGTTCAGTTATCAGGAGAGACTCGGAGTAGAACTACTGCTCCTCCACATCGAGAGGAGCCAGTTGAGGTGGTTCGGGCATCTGGTAAGGGTGCCCCGTGGGCGCCTCCCCAGGGAGTTGCTTCAGGCATGTCCAACTGGGAGGAGACCCCGGGAAGGACCCAGGACATGCTGGAGAGACTATGTCTCTCGGTTGACCTGGGAACGCCTTGGAGTCCTCCCAGAAAAGCTGGAAGAGGTGGCTGTGGAGAGAGATGTCTGGACCTCCCTGCTGAAGTTGTTGCCCCCGCGACTCGACTTTGGAACGAGCGAAAGATAATGGATGGATGGATTTGCTGAGACAAAAGCCCAGTTAGAATATCAGGAGAGCTTCTTTGACATGTTTCTGTTCAACTTCAAAAACCTCCAATGAGGCATTAGGTGATTCCAAGCAAATTCCACTGCAGCTAATTTTTTTATTTTTTTTACTACTACCCAGTAGTACCGTAAAAATCCATATAGTAAATAATGTACTGTCAATGGAAATACAGTGTGAAAGGGCGGCACGGTGGCAAAATCAGTAGAGTTACCGTCTCTCAGGTAGTAGGTCGCCAGTTCAAATCCCGTCCAAGGGGGTCCTTTCTGGGTGGAGTTTGCTTGTTCTCTGTGTGCATTCGTGGGTTTTCTCTGGGTACTCTGGTTTCAATTCAATTCAATTCAGTTTATTTATAAAGCGCCAAATCACAACAAAGTTGTCTCAGGGCACTTTACAGGAACATTCACATAAAAGCCAATTAGTAAAGTTCTCTATCTAAGGTTTCCTCCCACAGACCAAACACATGCATGTTAGGCTGATTGGTAACTCTAAATTGTCCCTAGGTGTGAGTGAGAGAGTGAATGGTTGTTTCTCTTGTTCGTCTCTATGTGGCCCTGTGATGGACTGGTGACCTGTCCAGGGCGTGCCCAGCCTCTCGCACAGTGATTGCTGGACATGGGCACCAGTGACCCCGTAATCCGGAAAGGAAGAATTGGGTAAAAGATAATGGATGGATGTAGTGTGAACACTGAGTGCTGAATAAATACTGAAATTTGTCGAGTGCCAAAGTTGAAACACGCAGACCTGAAGCCAAAATTTGCAAAATAACTGAACAGGAAAAAAAGCAAAAACTGTTTATAACCTTAACTAGCTCAACAGTAACTTAAAAATAAATTAGCAAAACCATAGCTAAAAGCTAAATCCAGTGAAGTGGGAAGAATTGTTTTTATTTGCATTTTTTACTGGGAAAAGACATTTAAAATATGAACTTTCAACTTACAAATCACCTGCTGGAACAAACTAAATTTGTAATCAGAAGTTCAAATTGTAAGAACTGGAACATCATTTATTAGTCAAGTTAACTTTATTTATAAAGCACATTTAAAGCAGAAGCTGTTACCCAAGTGCTTAACAAAATATCAATTAGAGTAGTTTGTACTCATACCTTACTCAGTACTGGCAAATACTCAAATATAAGTGTTGTGAAAATGGTATTGATTTATACTTACTGACAAATATTAGGAGTTTACAGGATCTGCAATCTATTTTTAACATTGGATCCAAAGTATTTAAGAAACTCAGAGATGATTTGAACATTGCCTGTGTGTGTGTGGTTTCCTACTTTGACAGAGGCTGTTACCTTCTGTGGAGGGGCTGGGGGTTTAAATCTGCTGGCACACACCAAGAAGGAGTCTGGCTGAGGTTTACCGTTCTTCACCTCAGGATCGTCACCAAGAACAATGTGGTCAAAGCCAGCAAAGAATTCTTTGTGGGTGCTGGTCTTCTGTCTGAAGGTCTGACTGGCTGAGCTGGTGGCCACTGCAGAGGGAACACGGTGCTTCCTAAGATGATGAACAAGTCTCTCCACACCTGGTGCACAGACATGGATGTTTTATGCTTATATTTCTGTTATAAATCAGTCATGGTCAAATGAAATAGGCTTTTTTGACAACAAATAAAGTTAAAGATAAATTTCTCCATAATCCTTCAGCTGTTCCCTTTTCAGGGATCAGCACAGCAAGTCATGTACTCTGTCCTCAAACCAACGGGGGGCGGGGAGGTTGGTTACTTGGTTAGCGTGGCACTACATTAGTGCTGGCAGTTGTCAACGGGGGCAGGGGTTGGTTAGCGTGGCACTACATTAGTGCTGGCAGTTGTCAACGGGGGCAGGGGTTGGTTAGCGCAGTGCTACAATAGTGTGGGCAGTTGTCAGCGTGGTGTAGCGGGGTGTAGCGGAGCGCTACGTTTGTATTGCATGCAGCATGGAGTCTGATATGAGCTGCTACAACCTCCACTCCCCGTCGGAAAGTGGTGGGGGATTTGTTGGGTAGGGCACTTGGTTCTGTCGACAGGGCGGGGCACCCTCCTTGAATAATGGTAGGGAAAACAGTATAACTGCATCCATCAATCTCCTCTGTCTTTATCCTGGCAGCTGCATTTGTAACATCCTTCTACCAATATACCCACTGTCCCTCCTCTGGACATGTCCAAACCATCTCAGTCTGGTCTCTTTATGTTTACAGTATCTCCCAGTCCTTCAGACTGCACTGTACCTCTGATGATTTCATTCCTAATCTTATCACATCGTTGAAGCTCAAAAGAAGAACATCAACATTTTCAGCTCTTCCACTTCTAGTTCTGTCGCTTGTCTTCTGGTCCATGTTTCTGTCTCCAAACCATACAGTATTGCTGGTCTCACCATTGTCTTGTAAATGTTTCCTTTGACCTATGCTGATGCCTTTTGTCACAAACCACTCCTGAAACTTTTCCACTCCGTTCCACCTGCACTCTCTTCTTCACCTCTTTATCACACACTCCATTTTCTTCCCAGCACACCCTCCTTTCTGGTAGAACACAATTTCTATCTTTAACAAGCCTTACCTGCTGCCACACATCCTTTCCAGCCTGACCCCTGTGTCTCTTCAATTGGTGCAAGTCCTTGTCACCCTCTTTAGTGTCCAGCCTCCCATACAACTCATCATACTCCTGCGTTGCCTTTGCTACCTCCCTCTTTGCTCTACATTGCATCTTGTTATATTCCTGTGTCCTCTCTTCAGTCCTCTCACCGTCATATTTTTTCTTGGCTAACCTTTTCATTCACCACTTGCTCTTGCCGAGATCAGATGCTTTTCCCCTCCATCTCCGCTTTGCTTAGCTGCTCTGTCTGTCTGTGAAACTGCTTCTGAGCCTCTCTTGCAAATCTTCTGAACCATAATTATGGACTTGTTTTGATCAGTTGGTCCCTCAACTCAATTTACAACATTTCTTCGAAGACAGGCTTTAGGCGAGCCGATTTGCCCTGTTGGCACGCACGCAGCTGGATATCTCATCGACTGGAAGACTTGCTGATGTGTCTATCTCTGCTGCAATCTGTGGATTTTAAGGACGCATATTTAATTGGATTTACGATAACTGGTTCCTGCTTTTTGGATTCGGCTGGTTGCTGGTTTTATCAACAATCAAGGAAGTAGTCTGCAGCACCCTATCTCACTGCTTGCCTTTTTGATGGCTTGGTTCGTGTCTCGAGTACCCAGACTCAAATGCTTTGAGCTGAATGGATCAGACCTTGGGGATTTTACTCAGTCACGTTCCTTCGCTGTGGCCATGTAATATGGACATTTCGGAACTGAGTGGACCAACACAGACTCAAGGTAGATGTCATTAAGTTCTGCTTGTCCCCAAAACAACTGTGTGTTCATCTGAATGTTACTCTCTTGGCTGGCCTTGAAGGTCATCTTATCTGAATTTGTATGGAGAACATGTGATCTGGCGCTCACTACCCCCTCCCTGAGGAATTTTCAACTGATAACCAGATGAACCAGCTGAATAAATGTTGTGTCATCATTTCAGGACTCTTGGATTCTTATAGATGTTATCCTTGGCCATGCCAAGACATACCTTGAGAATGTTTACGGACCTCACAGGAGGACACTGGCTGATTATTCCATCCTTATCAGAACTCTTACAGTGCCCTCAAGAGCGTCTACGAACATTGCTCACCACTCGTCGTCTCCCCCCTCTGCAGAACGTCTACATCACTATAGGAATTTTTTTCGCCTCGAATTCCTACATGTGTCCAGTTTCATTACTTTTTGTCTGTCTAAACAGATCTCACTTGTAAATGAGTCTTCTAGGCTCGATGTGACTTATGTCTAGATAAAGGTTGAATGAATTTGCTTTGAACATCTGCCTGCACTTCACTATTCCACCACCAGGTTTCCTGATCATCCATTCTCTGTCCAGGTGACACACCAAGTACCTTCCTACCTGTCTCTCTAATTACTGTTGCTGTAGTAGTCCAGTCATCTGGAAGCTCTTTCTTACCACCCAGATCCTTTAACAGCTCCTCTCTGAATTTATCACAACATTCTTCCTTCTTCATCTTCCACCATTTGGTCTTCTTCTCTGATTTGACTCTTTTTCTCGTCTTCACAACAACAGTCATTCTACACACAACCATCCGATGCTGTCTGGCCACGCTCTCCCCTGCCACAACCTTACAGTCTCCAGTCTCCCTCAGGTTTCCTCTTCTACACAGAATGTAGTCGACCTGCGTACTCCTTCCTCCACTCTTATAGGTCACTCTATGCTCCTCCCTCTTTTGGAAATAGGTGTTGACTATAGCCATTTACATTCTCTTGGTAAAATCCACCACCACCTGTCCTTCCTGGTTTCTTCTCTTGACACCAAACCTACCCATCACTTCCTCATCCTCTGTTTCCTTCACCAGCATGTCCATTGAGGTCTGCTCCCATCACCACTCTCTCCTCCCTGGGAATATTCTCCATCACTTCATCCAGATCTTTACAAAATTTATATTTCTCCACTACCTCACATTCATCAAATAGAGAATATCCACTGACAACATTTAGCATCAGACCTTCTACTTCTACCTTCAGACACATCACCCTATCTGACACTCTTTTCACCTCTACTACATCCTTTGAACCTTCTCCTTCAGGACCAGCCCTACTCCATCTCTCTTCCTATCCACACCCAGCCTTCTGAATAACTCTGAGTAGGAGGCTAACGGCTCAGAGGAGGAGGCTGGAGTCGTTCCCCATCTTCAGCTCATAGATGTTCTGTGCAGTGAAAATGTTCAGACTGTTTAAACTCTGATCACTGGTAAAAATCTCTTACCAGCATCACAAACATCAAAAGAATCATGGAGTCAAAATCATCAGCAGCTGTCAATGAATTTTGTTGAGGAGAGAACATGCATGTTCAAGAATCTAATAAAGAATTACTTCACAATGGATTTATGTTTATTCTTCCCAAACCGTCAGTGAAACCTCAGGTGTACCTGGCAGAAGTTTGGCTGAGGGAAATATCCGTTCTTGAATTGTTCTGCTCTCAGACAGGAGTTCCTCCGCAGACATGGGAAGCTCCAGGGCATCTCGAATGATCTGGGCAGCGTCTAGAGCTTTCTTCCCCATCACCGAGGACTTCACATCCCACGTGTACTGCTTCCCAAACCTGTCACAGATTTCCTGGAAGGACACTGTGTACAGTCGCTCTGTGTCTACAATGAAAACATGCAAAAAAAGAATCTCATTGAATGGGCAGCTGCTGATCACAGGTCAGCTAAAACCACACAACAGGGAGATCTGATTCAGAGCTACAAACTAGTTCAGCTTCAAGACGAAGGAAAAACTGCACGTTACACAGAGATGCACGATATCGGACGACATCCGATGTGCCAATATGTTAAAACTTATTTGGCCGATAAGCGATACCAATAGATATTTTTTTTGTAGACGTACTTACAGAGACTACATACAGTAGCTTTCTCTGTTGTGGGATTAAAGTACTAGATTATTCTACATGGTCTTTGTTCATTTAGCCTGATACCAAATGCAGGTGCCAAAAAGAGGGCTGAAAATGATGCAACACTTCAACTTGGATTATGTTTAACGTCACATATGACTTTTACTCTCTCTAACACAATGACAACACTTGAACAGTGCACATTTGTAAATTTTCACAAATCTAATCTCAATCTGTTCCCAGGCAACAAGTGAAAAGCTCATAAGATATGACAATTCTAACTAAAAGTAACAAAAAACTAATTAAAGTGTAAAAGTAATAAAACTCTAGCTTCATGCTAAAAGTAGCATGATGCTAAAAGTAGCATGATGCTAAAAGTAGCCTGATGCTAAATGTAGCATGATGTTAAAAGTAGCATGATGCTAAAAGTAGCATGAAGCTAAAAGTAGCCTGATGCTAAATGTAGCATGATGTTAAAAGTAGCCTGATGCTAAATGTAGCATGAAGCTAAAAGTAGCATGATGCTAAAAGTAGCATGAAGCTAAAAGTAGCATGATGCTAAAAGTAGCATGATGCTAAAAGTAGCG